CCTGCATTTTGAGGCCTTCCTATTCTTTAGGCTCGATTTTCTATGTAAAGTAATAATGTTTTTATATCATATATAAACTCAGAGAAAAGCATAAGGGGTACTGGTGGGAAAATTTGAATTTTTTTCCAACCTAAATTGGCCAGTGGGAAAGCTTTCCAAAAGGCCCTGGTGTATGATGTTCCCCTCCCAGTGTCCATGTGTTCTCATTGTTCAACACCCACAATCTGCACATGTACCCCAGAACTTAAAGTATAATTTAAAAAGAAAGAAAATGGAAGAGAAGTTTAAAAAAAAAAGAGGCAAAGAAAGAAAAGAATGAGAATCCAATTCAAAAGAATGAGAATCTCAGAGATAAGTCAGAAGACTTGAAAAACAAATCTCTTTCCCTATCTTCAATTGCCCTATTTCCCTCATACACTTATTACATTTCCCATATACATTTATTATGCTTTTAAATAATATGAATAGCTCCCAAATATTTTGCACCTACTCTATGCCAGACAATATGCTAAGCCAGGGGTGTCCAATCTTTTGGCTTCCCTGAGCCACATTGGAAAAAGAATTGTTTTGGGCCACACATAAAATATACTAACAATAGCAGATAAGCTAAAAAACAAACCAAAAAATGCAATAATGATCTCGCGATGTTTTAAGAATGTTTACAGATTTGTGTAATTGCATTCAAAGCTGTCCTGAGTCACATGGGGCCTGTGGGCCACAGATGGGACAAGCTTGTCCAAGCTCGTTTCATGCGTCACCTCACTGATTCCTCAATCATATTTGAGGCAGAAATTATTATTACCATTTCACAGGTGAACAAACAGAAGCTGAAGGGTTAAATGACTAGTCCAGGAAGTGGTAACCATTATTTGGGCTCAGATCTGGCTGACTCCAAAGTACATGCTCTTAAGTGAGATAAATCGCATGAAGCCTGAAGTAAGTATAACACTTATTCCACGGATTCTACTTTTAAGAAATGTCACATTTCTTTATTTTCTTTAAAACAACCTAAATCTGATTTCAAGTCCCTATTCCATGGCAGGATTTCAACTTCAGTCGGTGTTGAAGCTCCCTTCTGTTGGGAGATCATTCTCCATGGATCATTTGGGTTTCCGTACATTTTGTGAGGCACTGATGACTGTCCTTTGTCTCAGATGGTCTTTTCAAAAATATTTCCGTAGCAAACAGCCTTGAAAGGTCGCAATGGTGTCTCCTTCAGAGCAAAGGGCAAGCATACTGACTGCCTATGATACAATATTGGCGATCCCTAAGCTCAGAGGTCCTCTCCGTCATGCAGCCTATTACATGTGCAGGCATCTTCCAGCCCTATTCATATCACCCTATGGGCACTGAGGCCCAGGAATCAGTGCAAAAATGCTAATACTCTGGCTGCTAGTATTTCTGCAAGTAATAAACTACCATCCATCTCTAGCCCAAGAGTCTCATATCTGCCAGATTTATGAAACAGTCATAAGTTAACTTATCAGTTTGTAGGTAGGGTAAGCTCTCAGATCCTTCACAGTTCTTGACACCTTACTCTCTCTAGAATCTTACAGAAACCTGAGAGACTTACATGGTATCCAGAAAGTAGAGATAGGTTTCCAGTTTTCCATCCCTCTGATGACAGCTGGTTTTTTACAGCCCAGGCTCACTTTGTTCATAGAGGACATTGACCTCAGTGGTCTTGTGTCAAAATAGATAATGAAATCTTTGCCTTGACTGGCAAACTCTGTGCTTAAGATCTAGCTTTCCATATTTCCATTCCCCTCTGAAGCTCTGCCACTATATGGGAACAGAGAACAGCTAACCACTACTCCAAAATCTGGTGAGTCTTGGAGGATCCCATCTCTCTCCTGTTATTCCTTCTTTTACCTGTCCTCTTACATCTCTGTCCTGAGAGCAAGGCCACTTTTATATAATCATCTCAACAAGTTAAGGCTTTCACCAAAGACAAGAAGAGAAGTTCCCTTCTGGTCCAAGCTTTCCCTGAGGCAGGTGGACCCAAAAGTGGCCCCCTGCACAGGAAAGACAAAATGGGTCATAGCTCAACAAATTATCTGCCACAGCAGCAAGCACTCGGTGTAATTAACTGTGGCTAACTTTTGTTTACCCATGGCATCTCTTTATCTTTTATCACGTCTTTGGCTTTAGTTATAAGTAGGAAATATTTCCCTTGGTCTCTCCCTCAATTACATCGAGCTTGTGGTTAGGAAACTATCTCAGCTCTCTTTCTTCTGGTCCATCAAATTAAGAAGAACATTAACTGAAGTACCACAAACACAAAAAATACGTAAAATAATAATGATGATGATATAACAATGAACACCCTATGTATATTTCTGCTTCCTGCCTGGCTGCCCCAGCAAAGAGGTGTGTGGAAAAAATGAAGAGAAATAAAGTGAAACCAAGTCTGCTTCGAAAGGATTCTTGGCAGCCTTCGGATTTTGCCTTATTTGCAACCAGTTATGTCAATGCTAGTGTCCTTTTAGCCATGGGTTTTATACTGAAATATTTGTGACAGTTAATATAACTAGAGTGGCAAGATTTCCTGTAGGTGCCAACTCTTGTTCTCCCAGTTTTAAATAAATCCTCAATTCCTCTAGCCCCCAAACGGTCCAACGTATGTGTTCACTATTGGCAGTAATGACACTGTCTGCATCTACCTCTGTTGTAAGGCACGGACAATGCATACACCCATGGGGATACAAGCTTGTCTAGTTATGAAGAAATGTGGCCCTACTTATATTTTCAGAAATCTCACATAAATAATTCTGGCCTGCAAAAAAGAAGAAGCAATTATCTGTCTCCTGTTTTATACCCTTTTGGAACCTTGGGGTTGTAAACTCCCTCTTGCACGAGGACAGAATCATGGCTTATCTTGTTCATGTTGTGTCTACTAAGCCTAGAACAGGGCTTTGCCCACAAAAAGTGTTCAATAAATATTTGTTAACCAAATGAATGACCACAAGAATAAATGAATAAATTGCATAAAGAACTAGAAGATTAAAATATCCCTGATTCAGATCCAAAAGTTAAAAATGCTACCATTTTAGGTTTCTGTAGAATCAACCCTTAAATAAATTATTCCCTGTAAGTCTGACACTTAAAAGGGATCAAGAGAAAATATTTTCTTCCCTTATTAATAAGATTTGGTAAATATATAAAAGTATTCACTACTTGGGCCCTGTAAATATTTGAAGGCTTTCCTTCAAGCTTTTAGTTAGTTAGGGAGTTTATGCAGTGTTTCTCAAGTGGGGTTCTCACGGCATATTGTGTTGAATTGTTCCATGCACTGCAGCACATTTAGCACAATTTCTGTCCTCCACCAAATGCTGGAGGTGCTGCCAGTCAGTGTGACCTCCTAGAGCACCCCCACATATTACTCAAGCCTCTTCATAAGAACCTATTCTAAATATTGGTTGAATGAGTGCTATCCAAGGATACTCCCATTTCCTTAAGGAGGGAGTTCAAATCTCATCACATCTGGCCAAGTCCTTCATGGCCTGTCCCCATTGCTGCTGGTAGATTAATGTCCTGTGCTGGCCCCAGCATCACCAATCTTCATGCCATCACATGAGCATACTTTGTCCTTTCACACCCCTGAACCTTCACCTACACTGTTCCTTCTGCCTGGAGTACCCTTCCAATCCCTGCTTTCCACACTCACCTGACTAACCTGTACTTATCTTGCAAGGGCAGCTCAAGAATCTCCTCATCTTGCCAGCATTTTCTGACAATTTCCCCACATCAGCCTCCATTCAGAGGCCTAACATTTATTTGTCTCCTTGTCAGTCTCCCAGACAAACATCGAGCTCTCTGGAAATCAACAGTGTGGCTTCCTCATTTCTGTAGCCCCAGTATTTAACACTGTGTGCACCAGAATATTCAACATACCACCCTGTTAGCATGTAGCATGCACTATACAAATAAAGAATAGTAATCAGAAACACTGTACTGAGAGCAGCCATGTACTGCCCCCATGCTGGCAGCTGGGGGAGCTGTGGTGAGGTGATAAGGCAGACATGAGCCCTTCCGTCATGATGCTTACAGTCTAGATAGAAGGGGAGACATGAAACCGGTAATTTCAACTTCATTGTGAGCAATGAAAGAGGAGGTAGAGAGGGAAGGGAAGGAGAGAGGACAGCTCGGGCCCTGTCATTATAGACCCCCACATGGAAAGAGCAGTGCAAGATGAGTTGGTGTTAGCTAAGGAAGGAAGGGCAAAAGGAGTGTCCCAGGCAGAAGGAGTCGATGGAGGAGTCAAGAGTGACAGACAATGCATTCTCTTTCACAGATTCATTAATTCATTTAGTCAAGTTCTGAAATCCAACTGTCTAGATCAGAATGCAGGGACCACTATTCGGCATCTGCATGACTTTGGGCAAGTAGCCAATCAGCCTCATTCCCCATTCAGTAAAATGGGAATAAAGACCTGAACGCTTGATAGAGTTACTGTTACAGTTAAATAGAAGAATCCATTTAAAGTGCCTAGCACATGGTCTGGTGCTCAGCAAGTGTCCCCTAAATATGATCTCTTATTATTTTCTCTTATTACTTCACAAAGATTAATACACATGGCCACCATGTGCCAGGCACCAAGCTAATCACAGAATAAAGAAGAGTAAGACATTATTTTTGCACTAGAAAGGCAAGAGACACACGTGGGCAAAACGAGGGCAATGCACACACAGAAAACAGTAAAAGATGGCTTAGTTTGCTGCTGTTATTAGAGAGCACAGTAACAATACACAAGTGCAATAAAGTACCCCTAGAGCTATGATGAAAGCTGGAAATTCAGGAGAGAAGACATCTCCTGGTTCTGTCTGATGGATCCTACCGGGCATCTCTGCCCTACCACCAAGTATCTGACCAAGCAGCCTCTCCACCCACTTTCTACTGCCCTGCTGCCATCTGCCACCTGCGACCTCTTCCTTCTCCCCTAAGCCAGCTCCAATGCTGTCAGTGTCAAAGGCCTTATTCCAGGGCCACTTGCTCCACAAAACTCCCCGCCTATTCCAAGCCTCACCAGCCTCCCTCTCACTACTCTGATTAATTGCTAAATGAGAGTGCGCTTGTCTTGTTTGCTGCTCTTTCACAAGTGGGACTAGAAAGATAGATATCCGCTTAAGCAGTGTGTTGCACAATCATAAAATAAGGAAAACAATGGGCCCGTGGGCCCATTCCAAGTAATCAAAGAAACATGTTTGTCATGAAAAATTCATAGATCAAAATTAGCCAACAAATCATGTGGCCTCTTAGAGTCATTTTCTTATAGTTAATTTTCCATACTGTTTGTTAAGAACAGATTTCTCCATAGAGCGGTACATGGAATACGAAAGAAGAAGGCAAGGGGAGGGGAGGGGAAGGAGGGGAGGGGAGGTGAAGGGGGAGGAGAAAGGGAAAGGAAAGATTATTAAGTCAATAACTTCCATGGGTGAAATACAGGAATTTGCTTTTAAAATGGTCCCCAAGTGATAATTATTAAAAAATAAGTTGAGGAAATATTGCTTTGCCCAACTCACTACTGTTACAAACCAAATACCCCAAAACTTAGCAACGTAAAATAACAAGCTTTATTATTCTCACCCTCCTTTTTNTCCTGAGTAGCTGGGATTACAGGCATGTGCCACCATGTCCAGCTGATTTTTTGTATTTTTAGTAGAGACAGGGTTTCACCATGTTGACCAGGATGGTCTCGATCTCTTGACCTCGTGATCCTCCCGCCTCGGCCTCCCAAAGTACTGGGATTACAGGCGTGAGCCACCGTGCCCGGCCGAAAATTCACCTCTCTTTTAGTTCGATACATAGGCATAGCAGGTAGTTGTTTTCTATCAATTATAACACCTATTTGTGCTCACATAACTTCCTGTGATTCAGGATTCAGAGTCATTTCTGTTCCTGACTTCTCACACAATGCTGATAACCAGAATTTGAAAATCTTATAGCAACTTCTTTTTCTTTTTTAGCCCTCACAACATTTTTAAGGTCTCTTCACTTCCTGCTTTCCTTGAGCTTCTGAGGCCCTGTTGTTGAGGGGAGCTAATTATACTATTCTCTAACATGTTCCAAGGCAGCCCACGACCCCAAGTAAGAGAGACAAACCATACCAACAAGGAGAATCAGTCTTTCCCAGAGGAGTTTATTCAGTAACTGAATTTTTTGTTAGGAAAACTGTTACCTTGATAATGCTGTAGTAATTTGTTCACTCTTATGTCCCAGACTTTCACGGTTTGATCAGAACCTGCTGAAGCTATGCATGTACCACTAGGGTTAAAGTCCACAAAATTTGCAAATCTAGGAGGAAAGAATAAGATGACCTAATATTTTAATTTTTTTCTTTCTTTTCTTTTTTTTTTTTTTTTTTTTTGATAGAGTCTCACTCTTGTCACCCAGGCTGGAGTGCAGTGGCGCCATCTCGGCTCACTGCAACCTCCACCTCCCAGGTTCAAATGATTCTCCTGCCTCAGCCTCCTGAGTAGCTGGCAGGCACCCACCACTATGTCTGGCTAATTTCTGTACTTTTAGTAGAGACAAAGTTTCATCATGTTGGTCAGGCTGGTCTCAAATTCCTGACCTCATGATCCGCCCACCTCAGCCTCCCAAAGTGATGGGATTACAGGCATGAGCCACAGCTCTCGGCCTATTCTCACCCTTCTATGGGTTGAAATTTGGATAAGGAAAACAGTATGGCTTGTCTGTGCACCTCAATGCCTGGGTCTTTGCAAAAATGCATAGCGCAGCCATCTGGAGGCTCAACTGGATGTCCATGTTGGCTCACTAACAGCTGGCAGTAAATGCTGCCTGTCAACTCGTCACCTATATGTGCCTCTCCAGCCTGGCAGTCTCATGGCGACAGGATTTCCTTACATGGCAGCTGTTTTATTCCAGAGTGAGCATCCCAAGAGAACTGAATGAAAGCTGCATGGCCTTTTTTGACCAAGTGGCACCACTTCCATTGCATCTAAAGGGCTGAAGCAGTCATACACCCACCTAGATTCAAAGGCAAGGATCACAGACCCCTCCTCTCAATGGGTGGAGTATCAACAAATTTGGGGCCATTTAAACAGTCACATATCTTGTTTTAATCCTTAGTGAGCACCTACAAACTTTCTCTTTCTCTAGGTATTTTTCAATTCTGTAAGATTTTGACAAATACCAGAGCAAAGCTATGGGTTACTGGTTCCTTGGGACCCATCAATAGTCCCAAATTATACCCAAATCCACTTGTGAGAATACACTTCTTTGTACATTTGGCTTCTAATGCCTTCAATTGAGGAGCAACCCTTGTTAATCCTGTCTTTAAATACATTGTCACTAATCCATCCTCTCTTTGGACCTCTTCAGAGAGGTTTAAAAACACTAACAATGTTTTACTCATCTTTTTGGTTCGCATAAAACTAAGGATTAAAATCCTTGTAGTTCACAGGTTATAGATTATGCCTTTTTTCCCAGATATTTCCCATAAAGTATTTAGTCTTATATAAAATATTGTGATCCAAAGTCTAGAAAAGATTAAAGAATGAATTTTCATCCTAATTCATCATGCACATATACAATTATTTTGGCTGGTGTCTGCCTTGTTTATGCATTTTAAAATGTTTTATTCATGTTCCTGTATATAACTGTCCATGCTTATGTCACACAATCCATTCAAATGCCTAAGCATTATAAATACACATATAATTTTTCACTTGGGATTACATAGAAATTAGATTTGTCAGGTTTTTGTGTATTTTAATGATATGACACTAAAATAGTTGAGTCCATAAGTTCAAATTCTGAAGCACATTAATCACTTTGTTACAGTAAAATGCACGGACAGACCCAGTAGAATAATAGCAGTTTGTGTGATTACTCTAGCAAGTTCTATTAGAAATATGTGTATTTGTTCCTGAAAGCCATCTTTATTTCTTTCCCTCCATATAAAATTGGTTCAGAAAAAAAAAAAAGAGACTCAAATCCACATTGGCATTTTTAAGGAATCACACTATCTAACGTGAGACATCTTATCACATTAGTAATCATATTCAGAGAAAACGATTTTTTGGACATGTGAAATTTTCTATTCAGCTCTACAAGTAAATCAGTACACTGCAGCAAACATAACCACACAGGCCCAATCACACACTAATAACCCTTCCATACCACTCCACTAATTTGATACTGCTGCCCATGCTAAATTACCAAGGAGTTTTAAAGAATACCATCTATTTATTTTTGAATACACAGTATATTTTCTTCTAACTACATTCTGATCACATTTCACAGAGGAAAATATATCTGGCCTATCAATGGCATAAAATGGGTATTTCCTCAGGGGTGTGTAAAGTGTATATAAATCTCAGCTTCTGCCTGAGATTTGCAGAGATGCTAATACACAGGTCACTTGTGCGCTGATTTTTCTTTGTGATTTGGGAGCTAAGCTTGCAAGCTCTCTGTAGTGTAATGAGATCATGGGCAGTTTGGATTATATGCATAAAGATTTCACTCTTTTGCAAGTAGTCCCTCTGCCTCTGTACATTATGTTTCTAGATTGCTTTAATGTACCAGCCTCCCATCTACATTTATTTGGAAAAGAATGTAAGCATTATTTTCTTTAGTTTACTCATACTAAGAGAAATAAATTCATATATATGCACACAGTTGTGTGCTATGCCAATAATATTAAATAAATACATTATAGCAGCTCTCTTTTTTAATGGCTCAATTTTTTTCCTTTGATTGCTTTCACCAATAAAAGTGTAGTCTGTGGAAAAGCACCCTTCTGGATAATCCATTGTCTCATTTTAACTCATTTTTATCAGGGAATTCCCCCTGCAGCAATCCCCACTGCCAACCATTAGCTGTGCACATCTGCCCGCAGTAATGACCGATCCTGTGTACATACCTGACTGCCATCTAATTTAGACTTTGCCCATAGGACACTAATGCAGCATCTCCAGGGCCAGCTAAATTCTGGACTGTTGACACATTATGGTTATCACTTCATTTGGTCTTTGGAAGTGAATTAAGAGTGCCTGAGGTCGCAAATAGGTCAAATGCCTATGCCACGGGCCTTCAGCTTACCCATGTCCAGCTTCATGTGTGTTCAGACAAAATGTGTGTCACATCACAGGCCCCATAACTTTATTGCAATCGTGACTCAAATTAAAGATATTTCGATCCAGTCCCTTCCCATATGCAATACAAAATATTATGGGTATGTCCATGTGATCACAAAGAAACATGTATTTCACAACAATAAATAGAAAGGCCATATATTAAAATTTGTTCTACCTGAATTTTATTCCTCTTTGATCTGTTTTCATCTTTAAACATGTTCTGGTTTAAAGAGATCATTTAATTAAAGCAATGGAAATTAGAGCAATTAAAATCTTATAAAACACATTCACAACATTGTCTTTTCTGCTAGATTGTAAGGGACTAAAGGACAGGGGCAGTAGCAGGATGCCATATGTATACTAAGGGGGCTGGACAGTCCTAAGACAAGACCTAGAGGATCCCCTCAACAAGCATATTACTGCAGATGAGGAGAATGGTCAAGAAACCACTGCAATGATCCTGACAAAAACTCGCCATGCCCTGAACTAAACCCGAGGATGTCTCAAGACATATTTTGGAAATAGACACAATAGGATTTGGATATGGAAGACATGCGACTGGGAGTTGAAGCAGACTTAGATCTCGGCTCTGACACGTAAAGATCTTGGAAGCCACCACTCCTAGTCTTAAAACAAGAAAAAGCTAGACAAACTGAAAATCAACAACTTTTGTTGGACCTATCACAGAACTAAGGCAGCAGACCAAACAACAATCCCAAAACCTGGAAAAATGGTTACATCCCAAAGATACAACAACCAAGAACTGTTTACTTAGAGCAGCAGCTGTACTAGCAGGGAAACTGGTAGAAACACCAAAATGGTAACTTCGATGAATTGCTGGAAGCTGAGTGTGAACTAGTGTAAGAGTGAGAAATTCCTGGGGGCCACTGTCTTGCAGGGGCGGGGGGCAGGGGGGCGGTCACACTGTCTTGGACTTTTCCTTTCTGATCCCTTTCAGAAACCCACCAGGTTTTCACAGTGAGGATCTGAGCAAGATCTCCTCCTGTCCCTGGCACAGGGAAGGGAAGAGTAACTGCCGTGAAGCCCACCCAGAGCCTTCTCCAAAACAAAGGCCTATTCTCCAGGGGAAAGACTTCACCTGTGTATAATTCCAAACCCTTATCTCACCTGGAGGAAAGGAATTCTCCTCACTCCGGCTCCCTCCAGCCTTTCCCTCTCACTTAAGATGAAAAAGCAATCCCATAGTCATCAAGGGCTTCAAGGAAATAGATTGGGAAAGCTGCAGCCAGGGATTGACCAAGGACAAGGTAGGAAATGCTATGCCACAGGAGGAGGGATAGAAACACACGTGAAGGCCACAGCCTCAAGACACGAGACCCCAAAATACTGAGACCTAATCAGAAGATTGTAGAATGCTCCCCTTCCTTTCCCCATACCCTACCACCACACCAACAAGCTCCAGTGTAATAACCACCGATTAGAGCTGAAAGAAGTGCAAGACCCAGGCTGTCTCCAAGGAACTGTATAGGGAAGCCTCAAAGCCAAGAGACAGGACAGAAACAAGGACACTAGAGAAAACGGATCCTCTGGCATCTGCAACTAAAATAAACACTAAACACAGCCCAACTCCTTGCCAGATTAACATAAATTCTCCCACTAAAGGCCTATTTACCACACTTCCTATTACCCAATATAATGTGTCCAGCTTTCAACAAAACATTCCAGGGCATGCCAAAGGCAAGAAAAAACACACAGTCTATAGAGAAAAGGCCATCATCAGATTCATACCCAGATATGACACAGATGTTGAAATTATCATACAAGGAATTTATTTCATACAAGAACTCTGTTAAGGGCTCTAAGAGAAAAAGTGGGTAGGCAATATGCAAGATGAGATGGACAATATAAGTAGAGGGATGGAAACTCTAAGAAAGAATCTAAAGGAAATGCTAGAAATCAAAAACACAGTGACAGAAGTGAAGAGTGCCTTTCACTAGCTGACTAGTGGAGAGCTGAGTCTCACTCTCAGGTAGGTGATAGGGCAGATGGTGCTGGCCTTTATCAAGATAGAGAAATATAGGGGGAGGAACCAGTTTAGATCAAAGATGACATTTTCCTTTTTTTTTTTTTTTTTTT